CATGGAGGAAACATGCGTGTAAAGTGGAGTGCTCAGCTCTGCCCCCACGTTCTGATCTCTTTCAGTACGTATGAATTACATACCCACTAGTGCCAAGTTCTACTCCATCCAGTTCTTGGAGTTACACTGGTTAAGAAGATGGACAAAGACCGTTACCGTGACAGCACTAGATTGTCCTCAGAGGGGATCTGACAGACAGCTTTAAGCTTACTTAAATTAAGGTATTATGAGATACAAGGAAAGAAAAACAAAATGTGGCTCATCAAAAGATGACATCACCTGAGGTCCTGTGAGAAGAAAGACTTTGGGGAGGGGCTTCCCATGAGAAGGAGGGCAGATCCTGACGGAAGAAACTTCACAGGGGGCAGCCTACAGTCCCTCACCAAGGACACAAAGCTGGAGTGATGTTGGCACTGCCTCCAATGCAAAATTCCTGCCATCACAGCAGTGTGGGGTCAGTATTTTAACTATTGTCACTGTCACACAAATCTTTCTTTTGTTAAAAGTAGCCATATTATTGAAATTTTAAATTAAAATTAAACCCTTTACTTTTATAAGAGAGAGAGAGAGTGAGTATGTGAGTATGCACTGTGATTCACTCGTAGAAGTCAGAGGGCAGCTTGCGGGAGTATATTCTCTCCTTTCACCACATGGGTCCCGAGGATGCACTCAGGGCATGCCAGCAAGCGCCTCTCCCTGCCGAGCCAGCCCACCTGCCCACACTGTTGAAGCTCTTCACTGGCAGAAGCTGCTTGACCTCGTGACTCCTTTTCTGTGTAATTTCATCGGTGTTGGCAGACCGGGTGTGCTAGCACCTGAGCATGGGGAATTAGCTCATGCAGAATTTTCTGGACACAGAAATGATTTATCACTGATTGGATTACTCAAATGTCATCAAATGGAGCTTAATAAACGGTGTCAACTTGTCGTTAAGCATTTATAGACTTTCTAAAGAGGGACCCTTCGTCCATAGCTTTGAAAGAAGTTAGAGGACGTATTGGTTTTCTCCTGATTATTTTTTAGTTGCTGAAATGACTTGTCCATACTTCCTGGGGACATCTGCATATTAATAACAACAGCACAATCACCAAAAAATACCAAATAACCCAGTGCCCGAGAAAGGAAAGCACAGGTCCAAATGTGCTGTCGGCCTATGGCAACTTCCACCTGAGGCTGCTCGTGAAGTGTAGAGGTATCTGCAGGGCCTCAGCTCTAGGGTCCCTTTACTGTCTTGTCCTTAGCCTGTGCAGAGAAGGGTAGGGCAGGTGACAGACAGGTGGGCCTTCTGTGATAAGGGTTTGTGAAGCGGGAATCAGCTGCACTGTAATTCCCAAGGTCTACCAGATGGAAAATGGCTTTATCTACCTAGAAAGATCTAGGCTTGAAATAGAATTGAGTTCTCTCTCTTTTCTTGGTGCTGGAAGACTTGGTTCCTTCCTCTGAGAGCTGCTTGATTGAATGTGTTGAGAGAGAGAGAGAGAGCGTGCACATGTATGTGTGTGTGCACGTGTGTGGTCTCTGTGTGTATCTATTTTGTTTGGTTACATTATGCTACAATAATGAGGAAATTTTCCCAGGATATGAACATTGGTTTCTTCTCTTGTGCTTGAGCAGTCGTGTTAGCTGTCAGTGGCTTCCAAAACTGACAACACAGAGGATAATCACTAAATACACACAGACCCAACGGGGCAGGAACGAGTGGGAGGGAAGAGAGACTGGGAAAGAGGGCGGCTCTACTGGGCAGAAAAGCAACATCCTGGCCTTCTGTGTGTATACTCATGCCGGGATTACAATTCCTATCTTCTTGTCTATGAACGTGGGAGGAGAGGGAGAAGGGCCTATTATGGCAGACAAAAGGATGTTTTAATCTTCACATGCACCCACCTGACTCAGCCTATCATTGAACAAAAGCACACCATAATTTAATCTCAATAATAATTTAGTCCATAGTCATAGGCGACAAGCCTATCAAAGCAGACAACCTATAATTTGTAAAATTCATGTGCTGGGGATTAGGGCCACCTGTTGAATTTAATCTTTGAGTTATAATGTTAATTCCGTCGTGTAAATGCACATAAACACCACATCTCTATCTGTCTTTGGGACCTGGAGCTGTGGAGATGTGAACGGTTTCTTCATGGTATCTACAGGTCTCTCTAGGTTCTATGAATCAAGAGTAAACTCGATGTCCGTTTGAGTTCTGATCAGGATGCAGGGGCATATGGTTTTGGGGTTGCCTCATTCCAGGGTATCTGTGATTTTTCTGAGGCCTGATGTGAGAGAGAAGAAGAGAAAGGGGGACATGGTGCCATGCGACAGTGTGGTCAGGACAGGAGAGGTTTTGTTCCCTACCCCCTGCTGTGTTAACTGGAGTAAAGTTCTTCTCTGCAGACACCCTAACAAATGATTTCAAGCCTTACCTGATGGAGACTGCGGACAGTCTCAAGCAAAACTGAAGCCACCAGTAGCTTCTAGGTGTTCGTAGGGGTGTGTGCCTCAGGTTGCCCCTGGGAGTGAGAGCTCCGTCCATTTGCTGGCCAGAGCCACAGAGGGTAAAGTGGGCCATTGGACAGGTTGGCCTCAGCTCATTGGGACAAAGGGACATGGCCCACTGATGTAGAGCATCTTGGGTTTGCACTTGTTGCTTTGCCTGGTGTCATCTGTGCTCTGGTGCAACCTCGGAGTGGGACTTGTGAGACGGGCCCTTGCTTTTTTCCTTTCTCCTTCTTTCCTTTCTTCTCCCTTCCTTCATTCTTTTCTCCCTTTATCCTTGCTTTTTCTTCCTTCTTCCTTCCCTCCCTCCTTCCTTCTTTCTCCTTCTTTTCTTATTTCCTTCCTTTATCCTTCTTCTACTTCTTCCTCTTTTGTTCCCTCCTCCTTTCTTCTTTGCTCCCCTCCTTTCTTCCTTTCCTCCTTCCTCCATTCCTTATTGTTTCCCCTTCCTCCTTTCCTTCTGTTTCCCTTCCTTCCTCAGCTCCCTCCCTTCTTCCTTCTCTCCCTCCCTTCCCTCTTTTCTTTCCTTCCTTCCTTCCTTCCTTTTCTTTTTTCTTTCCTGTCTCTCTTGGATTTTTGGCACAAGGTGCCCTATGTTACTCAGACTGACCTCAAATTTGCCATTCTTCAGCCTTAGCCCACAGTGTTGGGTTTGCCAGAGTGTGCATACTGGGAGATGGTGGTTTTCAAGGAACGAATTGCATCGATACGGATAATTTATACAGAGAAGACCTCCGTCTGCCAAGAATTTCCATTTGCATGTAGCATTTCTTAAAACATGGAAAGGTCATTGTTCATCCTAATCACACAAGGCCCCGATACCCTGAAAATATTAACAGCACACCTGTTTGCATAAGCATTTTTTTTAAAGATTACTGTTAAACTCTCAGTCCTCCTAGTTGGGGATAGTTGAACACTAGGTTCCAGAAGAAACAAAGTATTAGGAATATCATCCCATGTCCATCAGAGCTTGCAGGGTCTGGATCTTTAGACATTCCCTGTTCATGAATGGTTCCACAATTTGAGGTGGGTTCCCACTAAAGAACAAGTGTGAAATCCACCACCATACCTTATTGATCACATGCCAGTGACCCACACAGAATGCCACATCCATCCCCAGGCAGAAGCCAGGGCTAAAGTTCCCCACACCTGCAGGCCTTATCAGTAGCCCGCACATGCAGACCCCAGCACGACATCAATCAGCAACCAAGGCGAACCGAAACTATAATTGTTAAGCCTCTGCATTGGAGTTTTAAGTCTACCCCAAATGGGCACCTCCTCCTGTTCACATCTCAGAAGTCTCCCTAGTACAACTTCCATATTGTCAAAGAAACATTGCTTGCCTCTCAGAGGATGTGAGCTCCTCCTCGGTGCACCCCACAGCACCGTTTACAGCCAGCGCTGGCTTCACCTAGCAGCGCATCTTGCTCCGCTCATCTCGGGGCACGCCTTATTTTCATCAGGCATTCAGGGATGGGAAAGCTGAGTCCTGCATATGAAGCCCCTTTGGGTTCTTCACATCGGTAGCATTCTACACAGCACAGGTGCGTGGCAATACTTGGATTGTCACTTAAAGTCTGACTTAACTCATGTGTGACAAGAGCAATCTTCTTGCTCTGCAAGGAACATCTGCAAATATTACTTTGGTTCACGATCATAACATGCAGTAAAAGAGTTGAGAGCTTTCAAGTCATCTTCTAGGTTTATAGACACAGAGTGGAAGTGTGTGTGTTTAATAAACACACTAGCAATTTCAAATAATCAGAGATGAATTTAAACTGTATTAAAATATCACGGGAATCAGGAAACTTGATTTGGTTTCTCCCAGTGGCTTCCTGTACTGAAACCGGAGACTTGTTAGTCTAAGGAAAGGAGGTTCAATTTAAAGGGAAAAAAAACCCAGCTTATTAATTATTAGCCAAGCCATGCAGTAGCTTCCCGGAAGGCAAAGGAAAACAGGCTTTCTAGCCAATGGGAGCTGTGTATGCCTCCAGCCCTCTGTGCCTGCCAGAACTGGGCTCCCCAGGGGCTGGGGCCTTTCAGCCCAGAGCAGTACCCAGCAGAGATCAGAGGGGGGAACCTGAGGACTGAGCTGTGACGGGGGCTCTTTCTTGTTCTCTCTGGAAGTGCAGGAGGAACCATGGTATTAGACCCTGAGATTCATGTTTCCTCTCACCCGCGCAGTACTGGTCTAGAATACACCAGGCTCCAGCAACTGGACATCCATCAGCAGCTGCTATTGCTAGGGCTCAGGATTCTAGTCCAGGATCTTTGAGGTTTGGGGTCCACTCACCTCATTCCTATTCCTTGATGAACTTTGCATCCTCCTCGGAATAGCAATTCATAGCTAGCACACACCCCTCCCTGCCCCAACTGGTGCACACTACCTTCCAGCCTCCGAACTAACACCTTCTCCTGTGCCTCACCGCCCCAGCAAAGAGGAACAGTAAGGTGTACAGGGTGCCCAGGCCAAGCGGTGGCCGGCAGGATGGCGCACAAGCTGTCACCTTGTGGTCTGCTACACCAAGGTATCCATCCAACTGCGGGTGTCCGGCGGGGGCGGTCCTACGTGGCTGGGGACTGCTCTCTGCTGGCTGCGCGCTGCCGGCAGTCGCCTGCTGCTGTTGTTGCTGCTGCTGCTGCTGCTGCTGCGGGGGCCGCTCCTTCTGGCTGCCGAGGCTGCTGTACACGAGCAACAAGCTGGTGCACATGGTAGTGAGCACTAAACACACTGCCAGACCATGGTGCTGCGGGCGGGAGGGCGGGCAAGAGAGAGAAGACAGCGACTGAGCACTGAGCGTGGAGCCGGGAAGCTTGCGGCTCCTATTGACACGCACAGGTCCTGGGCAGCCGGGAGCAGAGGTGACATGGTCCAGTACACCTGCCGGGGATGCACTCACAGCCCGCGTCTCACAGTGGTGGCACGCGCAGTGACCTGCGGTGAGGGTGAGCATGCTCGCCCTGGGCAATTTGGGGAGGAAGGTCTGGTCCCCACCTATGCTGCTGGGATCTCATCCGTCTGCACACCATCTCTTCTGGGCCCCCGGGGCTTCCCGCAGCGATCCCCGCTAAGTTTGAAATCCGACAAGGAAACCAAGAAAGTCGATGATGGTCCCTTCTCCCCGCCCCTCTGCCCCTCCGAGTTTGTGCCCAGCAGTGGCTGTGGGGCACCTTCCTTTCCAGAGAGGTCAGCCTGCTCCTCTGCTCTCCAGTCGCTCCTTGGATCACTCATTAAAGATCCAGGAGCCCAGGCATCTCTAGTGTTTATCCCGGGGTTCCAAGCCAGGTGGAAAGTTGTCACCCATGACAGGCGACCTTTTGCCACAGGGCTAGGTACCCGGCCAGGCTTCTACGGGCATCCCCTGGGACATAGAGCCCCGGGGGTCCTTGCCTCTGCCTGGCGGAGTTGGAACAACAGACTCACCATCAAGGTCTTCATTTTGAGCGCCTCTTTTGTGCGGAATTCTCAGGCAAGCGCGTCCGGAGCCACTTTTTCTTGGAGGCTGTCCATGGTGGGTGATGGGGCAGAGGCGCCTCGGATGCTTGCCTGGCGGCCAGCGGGCAGCTGAACGGGAGCAGAAGCCTCGCGACCTGGGAAGCGCTGCTGTGGCAGAGATTAGAGGAGAATTAAAACTGAGCCGGACCCTCCGAGTCTCAGCGATCCACACACTGCCTCCTGCCGCCGCCTGCTGGGTCCTAGAGTCCTCTGCAGTCCCCCTCCCAGCCCCCAAACCATCTTTTCAGTGATGTGGAATTTCTGGGGCGAGACAGTTAACCGCAAGGGTGTACCCACTTCTTGGTTTGGAGATTTATTATCTTTTCATGGAACCATCAAGCTAAAAAGGACTCAGAACCCAGTTCGATCCTGAACATGGTGGTCATTTGAAAATTTACTAACGAAAATTTCAGTTTTATGATTCTATTAAAAACAAGTTAACTTCCCAAATGCCAATAGATCTATTTATATTTGCATTTTGTGTTTGCTGCTTGGAAAATGTTACCTTAGAATTATTTTTCTGAAAAATTATGTCAGTGCAATTTCTAGTTGTTTTCGAATGTCCTTTTCCTTCTTAATTTTGTTTTGACAAATTGTTAGTCTCATGCTTCCTTTGGACCGTACTCTTTCATGTAAATGACTTCATTCATCATTTGCTTCCAAGAACACAATTTATATTTCTACTCAACCTTTGAAGTCCCCAGTACTTAATTTCAAAGTTTCGGAAACAGTCAGTGCATCCTACCCATGTGATTAACCAGGACCGCAGAGTCTTCCTAATCGCAGTGAAGATGTACTAGCTGGTGAAGATAAAAACATGATTTTTTTAATCATATAAGCCTGGTGCTTCACTTGTGCTGTGTAAGCTAATCCACTGACATTCACGATTTCACGTTCAGAACTTAGATTAAACTAAAAAATTAAATCTGACCTCTGTTCAGTGTTGAGTTTGCATCTGGCCGGTTCTAAGGCTGTTCTCATCCCTACAGCCAATCAGAGCATGGCTGAGCTAGCTGTTTAGCTGAAAACGTATTTCTTGTGGAATTGTTCAGTAGGCACAGTTGTCTCCGTGTCTCTCTTCACACTGGACCTATAGCACGGAGGCTAAAGATCACATGAAGGCAGGGATGATGCTCAGCCCACCTGGACCACGGGCACAGGGAGTTCTTTCTCGGGGCCAGCACGGGCATTGCAATCTTAGCTTTTTTTTTTTTTTTTTTTTTTTAATCTTCCCTAGTCTACCGCTGGACAGGTGACACAGCCAGTATTATTTTTAACTTAAGAGGCCTACTTCCAGGCTACCAAAGTTAAAATGATTGGTTCAGTAATGAACATTCAGGAGACAGAAACACACGCTATGGAGCCTTTTAGGGAAAATACAAAAAATTCAAAGCACTGTCCAACATTGCCAGCCTTGCAGTTAGCTTTTTATTCAATTTGTGCTGTGGGCATGAATAGTGCCCGTTGTGTGGGCAGGGAAAGCAGCAGCTGGAGGAGAATCTTATCGGGTCTTGGCAGTTCTTTATTGTATGGCTGCACTTGACACTCAAATTAATGAAACAAAGGACCGACCTGATGAATCATTGCAAGCAGATTATCTGTGTTTTTCCAACGCTGCTTGGGAGACACAGCTAGACAGAGCTCCTTCCTCCTCAGATTGCTCTCCCTCCATCTAGCAAGTTGCCCAAGTGACCAATAAAACACTTCTCATATATTTTGCCCTCCAAACAGAGACATCACACTTGTGACTTAGGCCATGGCGGCACGTTGGACATCTGTTCCGCGGTGTGTCCGACCAGACCCGTTAAGCTTGTGTTTTATTCCCTCCGGGGACTGCAGTTAGCTGCTCACAAAATTACTCACAAAATGAGTAGAGTATATTTAACATTTTAATGCCGAGCTTGATTTGAAGGACTTCAAGGCATCTGGCTTTCCACTTTCAGTATTTGATTCGGATGGTGCAAGTCTTGGCGGGATTCTGGTTTGGGAGTCAAATGGACAAGGTAGGGCCAGAGGAGGGCAGAAAAAATAATGAATGGCAGTTAATTCAACTTGATGATTGTTTAATGATCAATTAAGCAATTGATCTCTTTAGGAAGCACAGAGGCGAATCAAGCACAGCATTTTCCCTCTAAGGATTCAGGTGTGTGTGTGTAGAAAACTTAATGAACAGACTATGAAAGATCAATAGAGTCAACAAACATATACTTATCAAAGATCTACTTTGTTAAGGGCCTACTGTGTTCTAGTACGAGGTGGTGCCTGGGTCTGCTGGTCTCAGGAAATTTGCAGTCTGTATTCAGGTAAATGCTGTGCACTTTTATGTCACAGAATAGGGAACGATCAATGAATAGATTTGTTTCTCAGCTTTGTCTCCCTGCTTTCTTAAGATCGGAGGGGTTCTCCTTTAATCCCAGCACTTGGGATGGACAGGCAAGTGGGTCTCTGTGCGTCTGAGGCCAGGGTAGTCTACGTATGGAGCCAAGTCAAGACTACATGGTGAGACCCCGTTATTGTGGAATAATCCTCTGTACACCGTGAGGATTTGTCACTGGGGCTAATTTAATTAAAAAACTGACTGGCCAGTAGTTAGACAGGACAGCCAGACACGGAGAGGCTGGGAAGAAGAAGGGTGGAGTCTGAGGAGTTGCCAGACAGAAAGGAAGTAGGACATGCAGGAGAGGTAAAGGCCCCTAGCCTTGGGGTGGCGCATAGATGAATATAAATGGGTTAATTTAAGTTATAAGAGTTAGTTAGTAATAAGTCTGTGCTATCAACCAAGCATTTGATAATTAACATTAAGCTGCTGTGTGGTGGTTATTGTGGGAGTGGTTTCCCAGACACAGAGAAGCTCCACGTATACCCTTTCTTAAAAACAAAAAATACTCAAGAAGTGTGAGATTTTAAGAGTATCCACCTATACTTACATAAGCCTTTCAGTTATTAATCTGAATAGCCAGAACAAACACAAAATAGGCAAATTCATGAATACTAGATTTACTTGGAGGCAAGCAGACAGGTATACAAGTCAGTGAAGACTTTTGGTTCATCTTGCTTTTGTAACTCAGGACAGAGTGAGCAGAAGAGTCACAGTTTCTCTCAAAACCCAAGGAGCTGAGACAGATTTCTCACCATTTAAAATTTTGCTACATTTCTGCCTCTCCTGCTATCATATCCAATCAAATTGGTTCCTATTTTTGAAAAAAAAGAGACTGGAAAATAAATTGAGTGTTGCACAATGTAGTTTGTGTGATAAAAATAAGCTGAGAATTTACGAAACAAGGCAAGTCCCTGGTGATGAGAGAGAGGTGGAATCCGCATGGGGACTTAAAGAACAAAGGAGCATAGAGCTACTGGAGGTGGGGGAAGGCCACGGGCAAACTGCCTAGGAGCTCTGCTGTGGTTCCTAAGCGATTATTCAGAGAAAGGTGTAGCACAATTTTAAGTGGTCTTAAGACTAAAAACCCAGCGTCAGATATAGGAGTTAGTGCTGTGAAAGATCAGAGAAGCAGAGCAGCAGCCATGAGTTCTTATCTCTTCCGAATCCTCAGACTGAAGGGGCAATCATGTCCCTGCGAATCCTCAGGCTGAATGCCTTTAGCTCCTATCCCTTCCTGCCTTACATCCCTCTCTCTGCTCAGCCATATTCATTCCTGTCTCCATCTCTCTAGTGTTCAGATTAAGGGCACGTGTCTCCCTGAGATTAAAGGTGTGAGCCACCACCGCCTGGCTCTGTTTCTCTTTGAGACTGAATCAACCTAGTGTAGCCCAGGGTGGCCTTGAATTCACAGAGATCTGTCTGCCTCTGCCTCCTGAGTGCTAGGATTAAAGATGTGTGCCACCACTGCCTGGCCTCTATGGCTGACTAGTGTGGCTAGCTCTGTTCTCTGATCCTCAGGCAAGCTTTATTTGTTAGATCACAAACACAATATCACCACAGAAAGGTTCGTGCTTTCTGTGCATAGTGAGTATGCACAGTGCACATATAGAACTCATAGGACAACCTCAAATGTTGATTCTCTGGTATTCTCACCTTTTCTTTGAGATGTCATCTCTCATTGGCTGGGAATTTTGCCATGTAGGCCAGGCTAGCTGGGCCTGGGAACAGCCAAGGATCCAGCTGCCTTGACCTCCTATCTTGCTGTTGTGAGGATCTAAATGCAGGCCCTCAGACTTGAGAGGCAAATTCTCAGCTGACTGAGGCATCTGTCCTAGCCCATCATACATTTCTAAGACAGATGAAAACCATGAGTTAGTGTAACATACGTTGATAGGGAGTTATGGCTGCTTTTTACATTATGGTGCCAGGGAAAAGGAAGACATTTCTGCAAGGTACGAGAAACGCAAACTTTCCAATAATGATAGTAAGTCCTAGAACATGTTTGACATTTATTCATCTGTGCTATAAGCTTTACTAACTTTCTTCTGGGCTGTCAGAACTCTGATTCTAACTCTTAGCATTTACTAGCTCCAAGAACATGGCATCTAATTCAGCTGTACTTTAACTGTGTGTGAGAGTTTGTATGTATGAATTTGTGTCTGAGTGTGTGTGAGTCAGTGTATGTGAGTGTGTGAGTTTGTGTCTGAGTGTGTGTGAGAGTTTGTGTGTGTGAGTTTGTACGTGAGTTTGTGCCTGAGCATGTATGTGAGTTGGTTGTGTGAGTGTGTGAGTTTCTGTGGATGGCTGTGTAAGCATGCCACAGGACACGTGGAGGTCAGAGGACAGCCTTGGGTGCTGATCCTCATGCTTTACCTTGTTTGGCACAGGGTTTCTTGCTGGACTGACATGGGTACTCCTGGGCATTCTCCTGTCTCCACCTCTGGTTTGCAGGAATGTGGGGGTGACAGGCATGGCTGGCTTGCACTTGTGTTCTGCAGATTCTAGTTCAGGTCCTCAAACCTGCACAGCAAGAACTGTACCCAATGGGCCACCCCACCAGCCCCAGTACAAGGCCTTTGAAAAGGACAGGAACAGCACTGATGGGATTTGACGCTGGTTTGAAGGGGCGGAGTCGGGGAGTGTGGGTTTAGATGTTGTCATCTAAATGTTGAATGAGATGTCAAGGCACTTACAGTTCAGTAGCTCTGTTGGGCTGAGATGCAAGAGCTGGGCACCTTGAATGTGATCCACTGGGAATGAGCCAGCACAGAGAAGAATCCAGACCTGAGCTCCGAGGGCTTCCCATTTCATGTGGCAGGAAGAGGACTTGTGA